GGGGGGGGGAGAGACAGAGACTGTATTCTGGAGTTTGGGGTGGATTCGTTTGTCACTGACTCCAGCCACTGACTCCAGCTGCCTGACTGAGGCTCAGTATTTTTTCTTGAGCAAGTAATGCTCATTTTGGTTGATTGCCAATATTATGAATTAGTTGATTTTCATTTGTTTTTAGAGATCTAGTTCACCAGGATCCATTACAGAAGGTGATCTCATCATGTGTATGGTGTGTTCTTTATGCGAAATGTTTCTAAGCAATGATTTTATGAATAGCATTCAGTTTTTTTCTACACTTTGAAATACCTTCTGTAAGATAGGCCTTGTTTTTATGTTGAGAGTTTCATAGTATTTAGAGAGCCTGGTAGCACAGTAATTGTTTATCTGCTAATAAAAAAGTCAGTGGTTCAAATTCACCAGCTGTTCCACTGGAGAAAGATGTGACAGTCTGCTTCCATAAAGTTAATAGTTTAGAAATGTTTTGGAGCAATTTTATTCTATCCTGTTGCCAAGAGAACTAACAAGTCTGTCCTAGAGAGGGTGAAACCAAGCTGCTCTTTGGAGGCAAGAATTTTGAGAACTCCAGTGCACATATTTTGGGTATGTAGTGAGGAGGGTCCAGTCCTTGGAGAAAGGATACCATTTTTGGAACAGTGAAAGGATAGCACAGGAGAGGAAGACCCCAGATGAGATAGATTAACATAATAATTGGAATAATGAGGATAAGTGTGTCAGAGATAGTGAGATTGGCTCAGGATAGAACAGGATTCAGAGCTGTTATACATAGGGTTGCTATGAGTCTTTGTTGACTGGACAGCACATAACAACAACAATTGGGTTTCTATGAATCTGAATCATTTCAACAGCAGTGGGTTTTGGATTATAAAGAGAGTATTTGCATTATTTTGGTTTAGACTTTTCTAGATACTCTACATGCCTTTACCTAAATACAGCAACTTTTCTGCCTCTTCTTCAGTGTATACATTTGGTTTAATCTTTGGTAGCCTGTTTAATAATACTTCGACAAATTTTTCCCAAGATTTTTGTCTATCTGTCCATTGCTTTATACTCAAAGCCTAGGATAATATCTAGAACATATTATCTCTAGATAAATATTTTCAAATGAATGAATATTATTTCTCATTTTATTATCATCTGCAATAATCAGTTCTTTCCATACTTTCATTTCCTAAGAACTCCATCAGTATTGTTTAGTGAATGAATACTGTTTTATAAGTAAATGTTTACAGAATTAAATTTTATTTTAGAGAATTTTTTGCACTAATATCAGTATTATTATAATTATTTTTGTGATTATTTTCTCATAGCTTTCGTTTTAATACTTTTTTTTTTCTAGGCCATGGACATAGTCATTCCCTCTTTAACGGTGGTTTAGATCAAGTACATGACCATGGAGATCATTGTCATAGTCATGAATTGAAACATAGTGCTACACAGAGCCATGATCATGGTCACGGACATGGACATGGACATGGGCATGGACACTATCATTCTCATGGTGAGTACAGCCTGTAGATTTTCAAAGTGAAGAGCTTTGTAAATAAATTATGTAGATTCATTATTCATTTGTAAATGAATTATGTAGATTTCTTTTCCTAGTTGAAGTGGTCTTTAAAGGATAATGCAGTCAACTTCCTTTCTGATGAATCAGTCTAAATGGTTCCAGTTTGTAATGACTTAGAACCAGTCCATAGCTGACCTTTCAGTGAGTTTTCAGAGGTAGTTAATCTCCCGGGAGGAGAATTCCCATCTTTCTCCCTTAGTGCAGCTGGTGGATTCAGACTGTGCACCTTTGGGTTGCCAGTACAACACTTTACTTCTGGGCCTCCAGAGCTCCCTAAGTGGTTCCTAAGATTATTTTATTATAACTGTATTGCAAAATTCACTTGATAAAAGTATGTAATTGTGCCTTTCCCACTTCAGTAAGTATGTTATTTTAAAAGAGTTCATGAATAAGATCATTTTGCAATTGAAATAATTAATTTGGCAATTGAAATAATTTTTTTAAAATATAATCAGGCTTTTTGTTTTATTGCATTCTCAAAACCTCATTGTTGTCAAGTTGCATTGACTCCAGCAAGTTTTCAGAGGCTTCAAATTACACAAGAGAATGCCATTCGTTTTCCTTTGGAACAGAGAGTAGATTCAAGTATCCTGTCTTTGGGTTGGCAGTAATAGCTCCTTACCTCCAGGACACCAAAGAGCTAGATCTCTGTGAAAATACAATGGATTTTTTAGACTTTTAAGTTTTTGCTGTACGCTTTAATAGTTATTATTTGGCGCTTATCTTTATGTTTCCTTAGAACTCTGTGAAGCATTATATTTTAAGTTTAAAAATATAACTAAAATAATGATTTTAGCTCTTAAAAGTGTATTTAACTTAATGTCTTATATCAGCATAAATAAATGGAAGTGAACATTTAAAAATTTTTTTTCTTGATTGTTTCTAGTTGGCCCCTAACTCACGGAAACCCTTTTATAATGAAGTTGGATCATTTGTGGTTCATAGGGATTTCACTGATTTTTCACAGTTGGAACACCAGCCATTTGTTTACAGGTTTAGTTTATAAATGAGTAATTTAGACATAAAAAGATAGTATTTAGTATAAACATCTATAACCATGGAGTAGATACTAACTGATAATCAGACCTCCATTGGATTTCTGAGGTTGTTAATCTTTATGAGAAAAACTTCTGCCTTTTTTTCAAGGAGTATTTAACAGATTCTATTTGTGCTTTTAGTTAGCAGCCTGATAAGTTATGCACTGCACCCCTAGGGCTTCTATAATTTAGTATATTATTATTGTTGTTATGTACCATCGAGTTGGAACCAACCCATAACCAATCCTCCAGTGGGTCTCTGTGGCAGTAAATTGCATAGGAGGAGATTATCCATCCTTCTCCTATGGAGCAGCTGGTGGATTCAAATTACATGCCTTTCAGATTATGGCACAGCTTCTTACCGTTAGGCAACTAGAGCTAGTAACTAGCATATAGTAAAACTAGATTCTTACACAGGGAATAAGACCAGTACTTGTGATTTATAGTAATATTCTGCGTCCATTTTGTATAAGCCAAAAAGGGACATGAAGTAGTGATTCTCTTTTGCTCATAAGAAAGAGAGTCTAGATTATGAAACTTTATGCTCTAATAGTGTTGTAAACCTAGAGGAAATGGATGGATTCCTAGGAACCCAAACCCTACCCAAATTGACACAGACAGAAGTTGAGCAGTACATAAAAAAGACACCCCTGCTAAACAAGTCCTGGCCCAGATGCTTTAAAAATTAATTCTACCAGACATCCAGAGCTAAACTATCACTAGTTCTACTTAAATTATTTCAAAATACAGAAAAAGAAATGCTCCCAGAGGCATTCTATGACATAAGCATAATCCTAATACCAAAATCAGGCAATGACATCACCAAAGAAAACCCCAAACTTATAGACAGATATTTCCCATGAGTGTAGATACTGAAATCTTTAACAAAATACTGACCAAAAGAACCCAACAGTATATACAAAAAATAATTCCCCATGACCAAGTGAGATTCATAACAGGAATGCAAGGATGGTTCAACTCAATAAAAGCGCTTAATGTAATTAATCACTTTAACAATGCAAAGAACAAGAACCAACCATATGATCTTGTCAGTTGATTCAGAAAAAGCTTTCAACAAAATCGTACATCCTGTCCTGATTAACACTTCTAGAAGAATAGGAAGAGGAGAATCTCCTCAACATAGTGAAAAGCATATATACAAAACCAAGAGTTAACATCATTCTCAATGGAGATTGAAAACATTCCTCTTGCAAACAGGAACCAGGCAAGGTTTACAGGTTCAATGCAATCCCAATATAGATACCAAATTCATTCTTCAAGAAAATAGAAATGACAATTTCCAGTTCTGTTCTGACCGTTTAATCTCTTCTTGGATGGTATCCTTGCTATTATCTCAGAGTTCCTCTCTTCTTCAGTCATTAGTATTCAATGTCTGGAACCTATCTTGATATAGTTATTAAATTCAAATGAAATAGACTCAAGGGCATATTTTGGTTCTTGTGGATTTGTTTTAATCTTCCTTATCAGGCTGTGCCAAGAAATCTGGAAGATAGATATTTGTCCATTAACTGGAAGAGATTCCTGTTTATTCCTAGTATGAAAAAAAAGATGTTCCAGTAAAATGTGGCAATTATTAAACAATATCATTAATATCCATACAAGAAAAATCTTGCTGAACACTATTAAAATATGACTAGAACAGTATGTCAACTGAGAACCTCCAGAAATACAAGCCACAGTCATCAGAGATAACAATGCTAAAGTGTGATAAATCTTAGCTAAAAGCAGAAAATACCAGAAACATATCTACAGTATTTTATTGACTGTGTAAAGGTATATGACTGTGTGAATTACAACAGATTATGGCTAACATTGAAAGGATTGAGAATCCCAAAATACTTAATTGTACTCATGTAAAACCTATACTCACGTAAGAATGTGTTTTCTTTTGTGAAAAGAGCAAGGGAACACTGCATAGTTTAAGAAAAATATTTATCAGTGATGTAACCTTTCTCTATAACTAGTCATTTTGTATATTGAAGAAATCATTCAAGAAGCTGGACTTTATGAAATAGAATAATACATCAGGATCAGAGAAAAAGTCATCAACAGCCCATGTTATGGAGGTAACACAGCCTTGATGGCTGAAAGTGAGGATGACTTGAAATGCATTCTGCAGAAGATTAAGGACAGTAGCCTTCAATAGAGTTCATTTCCATATAAAGAAAGCAAACATTGTTAACACTGGGCCAGAAGTTAGCATCATGATAGATGGAGAAAAGATGGAGATTGTGAATCACAGTCACCTTTGGAACCAGCAGTCAAGAAAGCAAACGATGAGGCACTTTGGGAAAATCTGCTCTCAGAGATCTGTCTACAGTACTAAAGAGCAATGAGGTCAGTTCAAAGACTCAGGTGCACTTGATCCAAATGATAGTCTTCTCATTTATAGCTATGCTATGCATCTGAAATTTAGAAAAAGACTAAAGGTGACTGAAAAATTGATGCCTTTGAATTGTGGTGTTGGGAAGAATACTGAAGATCTGATAGACTGCCAAGGGAGCAAACAGGTCAGTCTTGGGAAAAGTGAAGAAATCAGGGTGGTTTGGAGACAAGGATAGTGAAACTTCATCTCGTATATTTGGGCATGTTGTTAAAAGAAACAGTCCTTGGAGAAGAACATCCTGATTAGAAGGAGGGATAGTCAGCAAAGAAGAAGAAGACCCTCAACAAGATGGGTTGACATATTTATTATAACAGTAAGCTCGCGTATGTTGGACATGGTCGTGATAGCAGTGGGTAGGGCAGGTTTCAGATCCATTGTATATAGGATTGCTGTGAGTCATAGGTGATTCAACAGCACATGCAACAATAACAAGTTGTATTTTTAAAAAGGAAATTAGTGATAAATTTTAGGGAATTAAGTGGCAAAGAGATAAAGTTGAAGCTCTGTTTCTCTTAAAGGTTCAGTTATTACCCTCCTTTCATCTATAGACTTCACAGTCTTCAGATCTTTGAGATCTTCCACTGGCTTCTCTCCTTTGAGAGAGTTCATAGATCATGGGGGCGGGGCATGCGGGGGGCATTCATATTGTCCTAGACATGGCTTACTTCTCATATGTTTCTCTGTTTACAGCTTGATCACAAAGTACTGCCTTACTCAAAAGAGCTATATACCTAAGAGGAGGAAGAATTGAGTTGGTTAAGGAACTAGCCAGTCTTTGCCACAAAGGTCATTGTCTCTATTCAAGATGATTTTCACATTTTACATTGATGTGATTTATGTTGTCTTATATAGTTATTTTAAGATACAAAAAACCTTCCAGATAAAAAAACCCTTTAAGATAAAAAAAAAAACCACAAAAGTCTTCAGTGGGGATTGCATTGCATAATCAAGAAAACAAAAATCCATTAACACTAGACAAATGATTGTTGGAGAGAAGATTGTAGTTGTCAGTGATTTCATTTTACTTGGATCGGAAACACCCACCCATGGGAGCAACAGTCAAAAAAGCAAAAGATGTGTTGTACTGGGCCAGTCTATTGTCAAAGACCTCTTTAAAGTGCCAAAGAGCAAGGATGTAGCTATGCCAGACTGTTCTTGGAAAGGAATATCATCCATGGAAAGATGGGAAGTGAAATGAGGAAGACCCTTGATGAGATGGATTGATTCAGTGACTGGGATAATTGGGATGGGTGTGTCAGAGGCAATAAGATTGGCACAGGACAGAGCAGGGTTTAGGGCTGTTGTACATAGGGTCGCTATGAGTCCCAGGCGACTTGACGGCACTTAACAACAACAAGGTATACCTGAACTAAACCAAGATATTTTTCTTTGCTTTATATGCATCTGAACATTGGCCAATGAGTAAGGAATATGGAAGAATCAATGCCTTTGAATTGGGTGTTAGAGAAGACTATTGAATATTCCATGGA